AGATTTCCCCTCTTCTTATATCTATTGTGGCCCCCTAACCCCCTCTCCCACACCAACCTCGTCTTGGTTTTAACAATTTAGAATCTACACTACCCCAGGATGCTTCCACATAAATTTCAGCTTTCCTGGTCCACTCGTTCTTGAGAATAAGATTTTTCCCTTATATTCCTATATAAAACTTGGATTCCCTATTGTGGCCCCGCCCTACCCCCTGGGGTCATGATGTTTACAATTTAGAATCTACACTACCCCAGAATGCTTCCATATAAGATTCAGCTTTTTCTGGCCTACTGTTTCTTGAGAATATTTTTTAATGACCCCACATATTTTTGTCTTTTCTTGATTATCTCCCCTTAGAAGGGGACTTGGCCCTTTATTTTAACAATCAAACTCCCCATCACCCAAGGGTGCTTTGTACCAAGTTTGGTTAAAATTGGCCCAGTGGTTCTTGAGAAGTTGAAAATGTGAAAAGTTTACAGACGGACGGACGACGGACAAAATGTGATCAGAAAAGCTCACGTGAGCCTTCGGCTCAGGTGATCTAAAAAGCATAAGAATTACACGCTGAAATCCGAATTTTGGCGTCACCAAACCCTTGCAAACTTTTTTTATCATTCGGTAGGGGAAGGGTCTTTTTCTTCAACGGGGTTCAATTTCTTGAAGGTTGAACATGTAGAAAACTGACCCGTAGAGGGTTCTTCAAAGTTAATGTCCTGACATAGCCAAAAGTGATTCTTAATAAATCATACGTTATGTCCGACTATTACTCTACATGAATTATATTGTTAGAATCGTTGACTTACAAATGCAACGTAAATAACCGGTGACCACCGTTAAAAAATGACACCAAATCCAACCGAATCAAAAGCGGTGATTCATGCAAAGTTTGTACTTCTCTTATTTATTAAGACCATTGGACGAACATACCATTGTCATTTTACATGATCTAAAATTCATTTACATTAAATTATGTTCTCAGCACACAATCAATATCGCACTATATAGATACATCACAGTGGTTATTAGTTAAAATTAATTATCTTCTTAATCATCTATTTTATCTTTTCTTTATAATTTGCTGCTTAATGGCGATGTCCGTTATAATGCAAATTATCCCACATTAACTGAGGATAATGTCCCCGGAATATCCAAGAAACAATACCGATTCCTTAAAATGTATCTCCTGTTGACAGGTCACATCCACCGCTATGCATTGGCCAGGAGACGGAACTATCCATAGTCATTTCAGTATAAAAACAAAGTTCTGACAATTGGTATGGAAAAAGCCAGCCAAAATACGATCCAATGAGAGATTATATTTGGGTCAAACAAGGTCAATATAACGACCATAAAATTGATTTAAACCAGGCTGATGAAATTCCTGTAACATCAGCTTATCAGTACGTAGCTTGTCTCACTTTAAAAGTCTATCGTACCCAGTTATTTGCAGTGACGTAGCATCGTTTTTGAAAGTTGGGGGGCTATAGAAGATCATGGATGTACATGGAATTACAGAAATTTTTTTTTTTACTTACCTAAAAAAAAAGCTAAAATTTTTACCATTAATTTTTTTCATTTTATTTGCAGTGACGTTGCATCGTTTAAAAAAGGGATTTTTTTTTTACATAAAAAATGTTTACCAGAAAAAAGGGAACAAAAAAAATCCAATTTAGTGGGGGGGGGGGGGGGGGGGGGTTACTACGGGGTAGAGGCCCAACGTTTTCCAATACCAACTTCTTTTAGTATCAATTTCTTTGCATACAATACCACATTACCCTTATATAAACCTTATATCAATTTACTGTAGCAAAAAGTGGGGGAGCCATCCAGCATTTCAATGAACATGTTCAATAGTAAAACTTATGTCTGGAAAAGAGCCCCCCCCCCCCCCCCCCCCCCCCCCCCCCCCCCCCCCCCCCCCCCCCCCCCCCCCCCGTTGCTACGTGCCTGAAATTTTGCAATACAATCTTAGAAGATCTTTTGCTAAATTGTCTGCAGTATTACACATATCCTCATTTTGCCTATATACCCTCAATTACCAAATTGTAAATTTGTTGTGTACCTTCAATGATGATGCCTTACTCATTTCATGTACATTAAATGGAGAGTTTAGAGGCCGATTAAAACAACACAAAATCGTTAAAACAACTATACAAAATCGTGATCAGAAAAACAAGCATCCCCGTCAACAGATCACTATAAAAGCATACATGACGCTGGCTAACTTTTAGCCTACATGTAATGAATACGCTGCGTGTGTATTTCACCAGAAAAGATTCATATGGCACGCCAAGTTCACAAAAATGAGATAAACATAGTTTCACAGTCGATAAACCTGTTGTAAACTATAGTTTACGGACTGTAAACATATATATAACGCGATAATCTATGTTTCACAACCGTAAACTATTTACCGAAAACAATCATTTGTTTCAACTATACATACAGTTTCACGATTTGTAAACTATAGGCTAACCTTTATAGTTTCCGATTTGTGAAACATGTACATGTGATGAATTTATCAATAAAATCTATTGTTAACGTTTATTATATTTCACGTAAACTATAGTTAAAAAGATGAAAACTATACTTAACGAATCGTAAACCTATAGTTTACGGATTTATTTATCATTGTTAGGTTTCTCTTTGTATAAAATGTTTATTAACATTTTCATCTCTTTGTATAAAATTAATCCGGATTTTATTAGATTAATCTTTCGTTGATGTCCCCATATTTTTGAATCTCTTGCCATATTTTATTTGTTTTTCCTTTTTATTTCTTTGGCAATTCTTAGATATTCAATATCATAAATCAGTGGTCCGTCATTATGAATCGTATCATTATAGTTTGTCCAAAGCATTATCCAGAAATAAATACCTCTTTGTTGACATTTTTTCTCGAAAATCCTTGATGTACACATTTATGAACATAAAAAAGACAAAGTTGTTATCTATTGTGATAATATTTTATGCATTCTGGTATCATTTATGTTATCAATGGAGATAATGAATACCCTTTTTATTGCAAAATAATGCGATTTTTTTAGATGTGATGTCCATAAAAGGTAGATTTTGGGCTTGCTAAATATGTTTTGTATTTTGATTATTTACAACGTTTAGATTATCCATATAATCGTCATTTTGAGGGTAAATAATAAGTAACAACAACTTACATTTAAAATATATAGATATATACGCGCCGAATCTACTTAAAAAGCGCAAAAGGGTGCATTTGTTTCATTTGTTATGAATATTATTTGCAGTTGTCATTTTTTCTTTGGAATTTGGTAGTAAAGGAAGATAACAAAAAAGGCAATAGAGAATATTCCACCTTTAGTTAATGAAAAGAGAGGTAATCAACATTACGAGTCCACCTTGACGAATATGTTTTACGAATAAAACAAAATGCAATATCAGATGGGTGTTTTAGTGGTGTGCATCCCTAGATGCATTACCCATGCATGTTTAGTCATAATAAGGGTTTTATAGTGACTTGCGAATGTTCCAAGTTTGAACATAAAAATATATAGATAAATTTATCCCAAGTATAAATACCTAAATATACATATATGCATTGTCCAGGATAATAATAAAAACTTTTTCTTGGATATTTTTTACCAATGACACCAGTCTCTATATTTTTCTTTTCTGGCGAATAGAAAAAAATAAATTCTTAAACTTCTATTCGATGAATCGAAGAAACTTTAGAGCACGTTGATTTTTTTTTTAATATACATTTGATTTTGATATTGGGCTAATATTACAAGTCATGGTCATTAAACGGAGAGAATTGGCCGTGTAAATGACATGATATTAACCTGGCCTTGGACATCCAGGTTTCAAGGAATTCGAACCTGAAGTCGTGTCTTAAATTATTTTTTCTTCACATTTTGTGCGTCAGTGTGTCATGTTGTAAATTTTGAATCAACCCGGCGGCAGTGACTATGAAATTTACGATATGACAACCTGCAAATATTGCATTTCCTGTCATCCGGTAAAATTTACATGACACAAATGACTCTTGTGTGGAATTTACAAAATAAAACAAAATCGCAAGAATATGGAAAAAAAGTGTTATATCTAAAATAGTTACGAAATAATTTACAGTAAATCCAAAAATCATCTTTTTTTTTTTTACAACGTGTCATGTACGTTTCATTTACTTTTACCCCCTTCTCGACGAAATATCGATCAGTGTCTAATATTTTCAAACCAGACTTTAAATGTAATCGTTTTCAATGCCTTTTTTTCAAACCAAAATTTAAATGTAATCGTTTTCACCATATCTTTGCCATTTGATTTTATAAAATTTAGAATTTTATTGTTAAATAATTTTTCATTGTACTAAAAACAGTATATATGAAATTCATTAAAAAAATTGTAATTACATGTTTTGAATAAATGAAATATTAAATTGATTTGTAATTATAACTCCTTTTGATTTATTTTCTAAGATTTTAAAATACAGGACAACTCTTGGTAGATATATATTTTGATAACAACAGCCTGTTCTTGAAATAGTGAGGAAACTGTTAGATATGAATTTCTGAAATATACCGATTAATCGATTGTTTCTCTATATTCTTTTAAGTTTCTTTTAATTAATTTTAAAATTAATTATGCGCTTTATGGATTAATAAAAAATAAAATGAAATTTTAATTTATTCATTTAACTGATTATTTATACTTTGAAAGTCCTTTTTTGTGCCGTCGAAGTACAAATCATGACATTTACTATTTAACCATATCAACACATTTAATTTTAAAAGAACAGTGCAAGCGTACGTACATTTTTCATAAAATATATGATATATACTGGTTGTTTAAATCGAAAACATTTATTCATTGTGGGAAAAAGATAGTTTTCTCTCTTAAAATTTTTAAATATGAAATAATTAAAAAAAATAATTGGTGTGGTGAGTAGATGTAAAATATTTTGTAAATGTAGGGCCAAAGTGTTAAAATATTCATGCAGGGTGGTGACGTACTATCACGTGATTTTTAATCCATAAAGATTGCAAATGGCCGACAGGACAAAGAGAAAATCGTGATACCAAAACAGTCAAATTTATAAAGAAAAGGGTAGGTTAAATATTTTAGCACCTTACACATTGTGTAACAGTTATTCAAGGGGTTAAAATGTTGTGTTTTCATTACAATCAAACGTTTAATAAACTTGTAAACAGGCGTAAACGGAATAAGGAAGCTAGCGGCTAGCCGCCATGCCCATGTCGGCAAGGCCAGACAGAATTTATTAATAAGTGTAGTCAGTATATACCGAACGTATGGTTAATCTTTAATAATTCATGAATTATTTTTACCAATTAATAGAGTAGTTGTTATGAGATTTGCATATATCACTTTCGAGACCCTGAAATTGAGCTATCAAGGGGGATAATTTATTCGGCATATTATAAAAAAAATATGTTGACGAGGCGTGCGTTGGAGCGAGAGCAGTTGTACTACTCTGAATTTTTACTAAGATCTATCTCTTCTAATTGGATTGTCGAGAATTTGACATTACTTTTGTAAGTTGCATTTTTTTAAACTAAGTAAAGTTCATAATTTTATTTTAACAAAGAACTTTTTATCTGCTATCTGTATGCACAGGAGTCATTAATTTTATTAATAAGGCCATAATAAATAAATTGCTAGATTCTCATCCAAATTTTTTTTAAAAATGACATTATTTTTTTTTATTTTTTCAAAGTTGACCTGGTCAATGTTTTTAAAGTCAAGGTAAAGGTTCATAATTTTATTTTAACAAAGACCCTTATTTAAAATATATACGCATGTATTACAGCAATTATCTTTTAGCTGTCAAAATCAGGAGTAAAACGAAATTAATTATTATTAATAAAGCAAAAATAAAAAAAATGATAAACAGGCATAACAACTAATATTTTTATTATGGCCTAAAGCAAAAATAAATGATAAACAGGCATAACAACTACCAGTGAGATTCACGAGCAAACAGGATGGGAATGGACAATGGCAGTCTGTGAAGAAGAAAAATCATCACAGGACATTCGGGCAGACAGTTTAAAAAATTTCACTGGACAGTCCAATACTTTTATCATATAATGATCCAAGGACTAACCTAGGGGGCGACTCAGGTGATATAGTCGCTTTTGGGCTCAAAACTTTGCCGTAATTTATCACGAAAGCGAAGTTTATGTCTATTTGGCGCAATGCAATTTATTTTCACTTTATTGATAAAATTTCTGACTCATGCTATTTGCAATATATGCCATTTAATTGGGGGGTAGGGGGGAGTGTTTAGTTTTCAGGTGTTTTAATGTATGATAAAATAACAAAGATTTTCATATTATGGTTAATAAAATCAAAATTTCTAGTACCACTGATTAGCCTAAGTAGGGCTTGTGCCACATGCCATAGTCGCATTGGGCGTAGGGTGCAGCCACAATAGGGCATCAAAGTTTGAATATAAATTCTCTTTAAAGCATTTTTTCCTCCTTTACAGAAGTCCAGGTTATTTTAAAGCTCAGCAACTTAACGTTAGAAGATAGTGGAAACCAAACATCTCCAAAATGAGTTATCAAAAAATGTACATGAATCAGATCTACTCAAGCTCCACCATGAGTTATCTGACAAACATGTGGAAAAATCAGCTTCTGTGTGATGCAGTCATCAAAACAGGGACCATCAATACAAAGGTAAAAACAAAATGAATCATGTTAGTTTTTAAACAGTTCAATCAAAAGCACAAAGGAGATTGTTCCTTTTGTTGGTATTGATTCATTATGATTCATTATGATGATTTTTTCCCCCATTTCTTATTCTTCTAGGCCCACAGACTTGTACTTATAGCTGCCTGCCCCATGCTGCAGCATCTAGAAAATGCATCACTCGGATCTCATTTGGAAGTCAGAATGGCTGCTGATATCAAGCAGTCTTCTGTCATTTCTTTCCTGCGTTACCTATATGAGGGCTTTATGACTCTCACAGAAGAAAACTGCAAAGACATTGAAAAAATGGGAAAGCTCTTACAAGTAGAAAGTGTTGTCAAATGTTGCTCAGACTTTTATAAGTGTTTAAGTGAGAAAACGGGCATGAAAATGGCATCTGGACCTCAGATGAATTTCCAGGACAGTGTTGAGTTTCGTCATGTGAGGACATCAGATTTTCAGAAAATGGTACAGGATGTCGGCGTGAAAAGATCAGTTGATTCCGCGAGTCCCAGTGGAAAGCGACCAAGGATATCACAACGAATGGATGATAGAACCTCCATGAGCCACAGCTATAACTCGGACCCTTTTGAAAGGGGTAGAGGATCTTCAGCAGCCGATGTGGTAGAAATTGTAGAAGACAGTTTGGAAGTAGTTCACAAAGAGCCGGCTCTGAGAGATTCCGAAGGATGGCCAAAAGAATCAGACTTGCCCCCTATTAGAACTTCACAATCAATATCTGTAGCATCTAGTCAAATCTCTACAAATTCAAATGACATTCAAATAGTGAATGTGGAAGAAGGAGAACCAAAGACTCTTGCTTCAAGTTCTTCAGCAGATATAATTACACATTCCTCTAGTTCCCGCCATGAACCATCACCTCATCGAGATCCACAATCATCATCATCAGACAGAGTGTCCTTTGAATCTCCTAGTGCAAGACGTGACCAGCAGAGATACTCAGACATTTCAAATTTTGGAAGTCATCCATCAGCACCTGTTCATTCCCGCCCATCAGAATCGTATTCACCAAGTTCATCAAAGCGTCCTCAAGTACCCCCTCAATCTCATTCAACGCCAAATATAAATCCTCCTCCTCTGTCATCATTCGCATCAAAGATGCCACCTCTTCAGCCAAAGCCTTTTGCTGTTGGTAGTGCTGTGCAGGCCGCCAGCATACCTCAGCCCTCATCCATTAGACCAGCAGTCCCAATCCCGGGCACCCTGACTGCAGTGCAGCCTGTAGGTGAACAGAGCCCAAGTTCCAGCTCTAGTCAGGACAGTCGAACGTCAGACAGGTTTCAAAATAAAGGAGCCAGTGGAGGCAGCCAAGTAGTACAGCAGCATGTATCCAATTCACAGACAATTCAAATAGTTGAGAAGCTCTTGGCTGGCGAAGGAACTTCAGATCAAGGGTAAACCTTCATTTTGAAATTTTTTAAAATCAATAATAAGCTTTCAACTTGCTCAATTATTTAGATATGAAATATTTTTGTTTTTATCTGAAGAAAAAAATAAGTGTTTAAAGGTGATTTTCGGTTTTTTATTTTAGTGTCAAAGACACAAGTTCCTCAGACCTGGCTCCTGATATTAGTTTCATCAAAGTGGAGGAGTCAGACACTGGTGGCTTAGACATGTATGTAGACATTCCAGATGATGCGAAAGGAGGGCTCTTAAGTGGACAGGAAGAAGGTGAAGAGGATACCGGAGAAATTCCCATCGAATGGACGCGCGATGAATCCAACGAAGGCAGCAATTTAAGTGGCGATCAAAGCGGAACCATGCTCGGTCAGGAAGGAGCATTTCAAGGTGGGTTTGTTTTGCCTTTTAATGTTTCTTGTGAATTAAGTATGGAAATTTCATCATTTGCTGTTAGAGGAATGTGCATCCAAGTTAGAACATTTTTTTTAAACAATCATCAATGAAAAATTATCAGTAATTGACATTTTTTTCCAGTTTGTAATTTAAGATTCAGATTTCTTTTTGATGTTCTAGCTCAGTTGCACCTTCATCTAAATATAGTCCTGATGATATCTGCACATGAAGTCAATAAATATTCAGATTTAGCCCTTTTCCCTTGCAAAAATTGCTAAATTTGTCACAATTAAATTTATCCCCCTTTCTGGCAAGATTCTTTTGCAGACAGGTAGAATTTATATGAAGAGCATGAAGAGAGATTCGGAAATAATTTAAAAGGATTAAAGGGAAAGAATTAAGCTAAACAACCCAATTCAAATGCCACCATTCTATTTTTAATAATTAGACAAAAAAAAAATCACCAGATAAAAGGTGTATGTGAACATGATCAACACCTTAAAATTTAAGATTTACTTCAGACGCATAAAATTTAACATGAACAAGATTGTACATTGTGCAGACATCATAATCTTTTTTGAGAATGAGAGAATATGTATGATTAAGCACAGATTAGGAGCCCAAAATAAGTTAAATTTCTTGCAGTTTTTCACAGAATCATGAAATGTGTTTTTGTGTGTTATTCAAATTTTATCATAAAGGCCTCAATTCGTTCCAACTTGACAAAAAATGTAAATCATGAATAGTTACAATTTCACTATTTCAGCTATTCATCATAAATTCTAGATACTTGAACATAATGTGTCTCTCTTCAAATGGAGAAAAGTTCAAAATATATAATAAGAGACTATACTTTAACAAAATATCTGTGCTTGAGAGACAAAGTTTTTTAAAAAGAACACATTACTGGAGAACCAATCATCACAAAACACAACAACACACAGAGTAATTGTTCAATCTGTATATCTCCCTGTGGGGTTTTCTACTTAAAAATTTTTGAATATTTAGTCCGATAGGGGACTATTTAATTAATTCCTGAAAATTAATTCTTTACATGTGACAAATTTGAGGACATATTTATATTCATGAAATAAAAAAAATATCAGTGGATCGAAACTATTTGAGGATGTAAATTTGCAAAATGGATTTCTTGTAAAATAAAAAAAAAATGAATCTCTTATAAAAATACTGATTCCATAGAAAAATAAAACTAATAGAATAAGGGCCAATCATCACATTTTGTGGTATGGTAAACACAATCATAACACACAGAGTATGTTATTGTTCGTCATTATCGTTGCTGGTTTATTTATATATTTTGCATATTCCCCATTTTCAAAAGGTGAGTTATTTCCCCTGAAGGGAACTCTTTTACTGTGTTTAATACGCATGCGCTTTAAATAAAAATTTTGATGTAAACATGTTCATGGTGTAATGCCTCTGTCATATGGAAAAATGTTATTGTGTTTGTGAATAAAAAGAAATCTTAACTGACTATTTTTTTAAATTAATTCCTGTATAGTAGTAAAAAAAATTCTACAAAAAACAGAAAAGAAACAAATTACTGATAAAATGCTGATTGGTGACAAATTTAAAAAAACATATTTATATTCATAAAATAAAAAAAAAATTTTCAGTGGATCGATCATCACTATACAAAATGTGAGAACAAATGTAAATTTGCAAAATGGATTTCTTGTAAAATACCAGGAAACTGTGTTTTTGCTCGATTGTATGTCATAAAATAAAAAAAAAACATTTGGTGACAATTCTATTTCTTCCAGAATTTTTTAAAAATAATTGATTCACTCCATAGAAAAATAAAACTAATTAAAATAGCATCGACCTGAATTCGTGTTACATATGTCGTATAAAGTCTGAGCTGCATTTAATCAAAGTTTTAGTGCATAAGCATTGTAACATATTCGAGGAAAATACACATTTTGTGGTATGGTAAACCACATAATAACGGAAAACATCAAGTGTTATCATGTTTTACTTTTTCTATTGAAAATGTTCTTGAAAATGCCATCCCCCCCCCCTCCCCAACACACACACAGTTTATACTACAGTAAAGTTATATAAGGGAAATAATGCCAATGTTATATGGCACCTTGGGCAATGTCTACTTTTCCAGGTAAGAAAAAACATATTTCTTTGGCTGCCCCCCCCCCCCCCCCCCCACACTTTTAAAGACACGTGCCTGGCTAATTCGACGACCCTTTATAAAATCTTATTAAAAAAAAAAATTCGTTTCCTTCTTTTAAAATTTTTTGCTGGTTTATTTATATATTTTGCATATATATTACTTATCAGCTATTCTGGTCATAAACAAGAATAGCTTATGCATTTGTAAGGTGTCTGCTTCCCATCCTACTGTTTTTAACTGATAGTTTATTTTAATGTACCTGTACATTACATTTGGATTAGTTCCAAACTGCGTTCTTATATTGCTCCTATGTCTTCTTACCATTTCAACACTGAATGGTAAAAAAAAAATCAGATTAAACATGGTTAAAATTGGTTCGAATTTATTTTTATCCATAATTGGAAGTTGTTACTTGAGCTGACAGAGTTACTTTGTGAAAAGAGAGCAAATTCAAAAAAAGATCTTTGCTGACAATGCAATATAGAGTCCAAATTGAGGAATATTTCAATCTACACTGCCTATGTTGTAGAGGGCACAATCCTTGATCATTACCCTGCTATCAAGGGAGAGAGGGATCTCAATCTTGCCCATCACCCAGTCAGCAATTACCAACAAAAGAGGCAAACTCTGAAAGTCAAACAGTCAAGAGCCCAGGATCTCTCTGATGGTGATCGTCTAGATCAGAAGGGCCACTGGCCAGGTCCTACTGGAAGCACCAATACAGTTTGTGTTGTGTGTAACAAAAAACATACTATTTACAGAGACAGCCATCCTGGCTGCACACTCTCAGAAAATCCATGTAAGCGAACAAAAACGACAATGAAATGCATCAAGTGTAATGCGAATCTATGTTGTAATGCCAGATCTTCTTGTTTCAAGATTTATCACACCAAGGTGGATTACTGGCTGTAGAAACCCGGAAGTAACAAGTATTTTACTAAAGAATAAAGTTAGTTGATTTCACTGTTCACTATCTTTACCAATTTCATAACTTCTCGAGAAATCCAATTCTGAACTGCTAGTCACTTTGAGGATGAATGCAAATATACTCAAACACCCAAATATTTTTTGAGTTTGGTCCACATAGCAATAGTTGATTCAGCTACAAGAATTTTTAGACCCCAACTCCAGGCAAAGCTCAGTAAAAATTTTTTATGGTGTGTTAACTAGACATTGTAATGTGTTCTAATAAAGAGGAAGTAATCTTTCTAAAATTGTTTGTCATTTATCATGTATGCAGTTGCCTTCTGTAACTAGGGATGTCATGGTTCCAAAAGTGTTTTGGTTGGTCTGTTCAGTAAATTTTTTATTTTTCAGTAATATTCAGTTTGGATATTTTGGATATTTATATCTAATATTTTAATTTCATGAATTAAACCTAAAAAAAAAAAAATCACTTAATTTACTCTTAAAAAATGGCCACGATGACTTTGTTTTCTTGACTTCAGTGGTTACATCTACTATGCCATTTAAAAGTGCAAAATTTTGCCTGCATTATTTATAATCCAATCCTTATTCTGATGTACCATACCCAACCCAAAATCCTGAAAAATCTAATATCGATTTCAGCCATTGAATGCTGTCATTTCAGGGAACCATGGCAACCAAACCTTAACTTATATGTAAAATATGGAAGTAATGAACAAAAGTCTATCCAAGCAATACAAATCAGGAGTAGAGCAAGCATAGGCTGCCAAAACATCAGAGGTGTTACATTTTATCTACAGTAATGTAAAATATTTTTTTTACTTGGGCTTTATCTTTAAAAAATATTTGCTTACCCTCTTCCAACTAGGGTTAAAAAATATTGGGTCAGGCCATCTTAAAAAAAAATTTGTTGCCCTCTCCCGCCCAACTAACTAAAATGGCCTGACTCAAACATTTCTGTTACATTCCTGGACACAATGTTCTTTTTTCTTTTTATTCCTTTCATCAAAAAAATTTTCTGGGAAAAAAAGATTTTCCCACCTACTTAGTGACCCAATAATTTTGATACCCTGAGTCAGGATAGGGGAAGCAAACATTCTATTAAAGATTGCCTGGGTAGGTAGGGGAAATTTTTTATAATTCAAAAATACTGGGGAATATAATGATAAATAGTTATTCTTTGGATAATAAAAAATTTAGAAGAGAAAAAAACTTGGGTTTTTTAGCTCTCCTGAGCCGAAGGCTCAAGTGAGCTTTTATGATCACATTTTGTCCATCGTCCGTCCGTCTGTCCGTCCGTCTGTAAACTTTTCACATTTTCGACTTCTTCTCAAGAACCAATGGGCCAATTTTAAGCAAACTTAGTACAAAGCATCTTTGGGTGAAGGGGAGTTTAAATTGTTAAAATGAAGGGCCAAGTCCCCTTACAAGGGGAGATAATCAAGAAAAGACAAAAATAGGGTGGGGTCACTAAAAAATCTTCTCAAGAACCACTGGGCCAGGAAAGCTGAAACTTATGTGGAAGCATCCTGGAGTAGTGTAGATATTAAATTGTTAAAATCATGACCCCCGGGGGAAGGGCGGGGCCACAATAAGGAATCGAAGTTTTACATAGAAATATATAGAACAAATCTTTAAAAATCTTCTTCTCAAGAACCAATGGGCCAGGAAAGCTAAAACTTATGTGGGAGCATCCTTGAGTAGTGTAGATATTAAATTGTTAAAATCATGACCCCTGGGGGTAAATCGAGGCCACAATAGGGAATCCAAGTTTTACATAGAAATAAAAAGAACAAATCTTTAAAAATCTTCTTCTCAAGAACCACTGGGCCAGGAAAGCTGAAACTTATGTGGGAGCATCCTTGGGTAGTGTAGATATTAAATTGTTAAAATCATGACCCCCGGGGGTAGGGTGGGC